GGCAAAAGACAAAGACCACAATGACTTTGCTCAAGATGCACTAACCCCAAAAGTTACCCGGCGACAATTTATCAATTTCTATCCGCTATCTTTTTCTTATTCTATGACTTGTTATTTCAGGAAAGCAGCATAAGATAGCATGGAATGCAGTAAAAGTCCAATGAAAAATCAAAGGTTAAACACGCGCTCGCACCTAGCCGTTGCGCTTACCGTGTCCTGACCCTATGAGTCCATTAGAAAATGATGAAACAGGGTTTCTAATGAGAATCTGCCAGAAAACATACATATACGCTTTATAACTGACCACAGAGCGTACGCGTGGAATCAAATGCAAAGCGTACAAAGCGCATCAAACCACACAATATGCCTATTATAATAGGAAGAAAAAAAAGATTGTTATTCATTATTCTATTTAATAAAATCAAGTTCAAATACGAAAGTGTTTTGAACGATGTTTTCACGTTCATTTTCTATTTAAACCTAAACCGCTTAATAGCAAGTGGTCAAATGCTATTCTTTCTCTGTAAATCCTCACAAAACTCAAAGAGCATTTATTTCCCAAAGTGTGCTGTGTAAGCTCTGAAATCAAGCACAAAGCATGTATCAGGGCGTATTTTCACTTCAGTTCGCGTGCCGTACGCTTTGAAATAAAGGAGTACACGTAATGTTAGAAAACACTGTGATGAAGCATCAACCATGCAAGCTATGACGTGTCTCTAGTTTAGCTGTTTTTTCGAAAGTCGTTATACAAATAGTGCAATCATAAGAAGAAAGTGTCTGTTTATAAATTGTCTAAACTAGTTTGCTTCATTCCTGTTTGAAAGGATAAAACTTTTAAAAATAGCGCAAAGAGATGTCGAGCGTAGGTAGTGGCGAACCTATTCGTAAAAAACGAAAAATGCTTCATAGCAATCTGATTGCAGAATCATTCCATCGGCTGAGGTGTAAGTTATCTAATACGTACTTTGTCGTTGTTCGTACGTAAGTGCATAAACATGTTATATGTTTGATAATAGTTTTGCATAAATATCACTAGGATACAATCCGTTAATTATTTTGTAAAAAAGCTGATAATTCACGGATCACTCATCACTTTCAGTTTTTTAACGTTTTCTGGATAACTGTTTCCAGTGACGAAATTTGATTGATTTGTCCAAACTCTATGACGAAAAATGGTCGATCCCGTACCCGATCCGACCCGACCCGTAATCGACTTATACCTAAAAATATTCTCCTTTTTGTTTTCCAGCTAAAAACTTTTGTTTTTCGGCTGAAAATGTCAAATTATCGTTACTTTCTCAATTCTTTCTTCAACCTTCATTTATGTTAGCTAAATTCCTGTATTTTTTTTACTAAAATTTTATGCGTTTTCCGCTAAGACCTTCCGGTTTGCGGGTAAATTAAAAAAGAAATAGAAGCTGTATCCGCACCCAACGTTCGAGCTGGGTTGCACATATCTACAGTAGCATGAGAAAACTAAGAAAGTGAACGCAGAAAGTACATTCAATTTCCCAACTGCGCCCCACGGCGGGGGGGCGCCGCCCGCGGCGCGGGGCGCGCGGAGGGGCGGCGGCCGGGGCGGCCGCGGGGGGG